ACAGATTGTGGAGCTAAGCTTGGAGGGGTACAAAGAACAATAACGAGACTGAGAAATGGTAAAACCCCCTGAGAATATTAACGGGTAGCTAAGTTTTTTCTAAATCAGGCGTCAATATTTAGTTACTTCTCTTCACACGTTGATGTACGATATCTGGACAATGAAGAAATGTCCGAGCAATGGAAAGTAGAACTCATTTTTTCCAACACATAAGAAAGGTGAAAATTAAAGCATACAACCAGAGGAACTAGACTCCTCAATGTGTAATATAAAAGATTACCTAGGTAATAGGGTATCTGTATATATGGAGAAAGAAGAGATATTACAAGAGTTAAGCAATGGAAGCGTGCTTGAAGTGTGATGTAGACCTGCACATGCTGTTGTGACAAAATTCGTAAGACTTGTGACGGCACTTTGGAACGCGCATGAAGGGATAAAGTCCAGTACATGACTCTTCACGTTGCAGTAAAATGACTGAGGTCAAGTGGTGTAACCATTTTAAACTAGTCAAAAATGTAATGCGCTTACTTATGTTGAAGTAGATGTTTGAGACATTGTATCACTCAAAGGAACGCTGTTTGAGGTTAAAGAAACTGGTGAGTTGATTGCCGTAAACGAGAAGGAAATATTTGTTTCCTCACTTTGAGTTTTTCAAACATTCATATTTATTGGTTTAGACAGTAGCATTGTCTTCAGACAAAATTGAGCTCCGTTTCTCATAATCCGTTCTAAAAAAATTAAGGTTATCGATAACGAATCTACCTTTATAGTTCCATTCGTTCTTCCTGTAAAATTGCAGATTTTAACTCATCTGACTTCGTTTTAATTTTTGTTTGGCTAAAATTCAATTTTGTTAGTCGTACCAAGAAATGGTACGCGAGGAAAAGTGTTGTGTAAACGATCTCTTAATAAGCTGGCAGAGCCTGACAGCATTTATACCAAAACATGAGAATAAAAAAATCAAATAAGACGGAGACAAATAAACAATGGAAACTCAGAAATGAGTGACTCTTAGGGCCAGTTCTACAATGCTAGTATATACTGAGAATAAAGTTATACTTGGAATAACTTCATTAATGGTATTCTACAAACAAAGAATAAACTAGGAATAAGATAATCAGAGTATATCTGTAGAATAGCTTTATCCCTCCAAAGTTTAGCAGATATACCCAGTATAAATTTATACTGCATTTCTATTGGTTGGTCGGGGGTTGTCAAATCTGTAATATTTTAACCTCACTTTATGCCATTCAATTTCAATGAACTGTGGTTTTGTTTGTTTTTATATATATAAAATAAAATTTTTGATATTGCACAAACATTTTAGATTGTAAATCCAAGGGAAATTTTATTAGGCAATCCGAAGGAAAAAGAAAGCATTTATTATTTCAATTCTAAAATTTTAGGATATGTATGTATAATAATAAGGTCTACACATATGACTAATACAGTATTATGTATAATCTTACCAAGGCAATATATTTTTTAATGTTTTGATAACAGAGACTCTAATTCTAGAATCTGTATTATATAAACATTTCTTTAACTAAAATGATATATTTTGTACTCCAATATTTATACTTGTTTAAAATGTGGAGTACCTATATAGATATATTTACATAATTTTGGTTATTATATTACAACACTAATCTCAGTTGATGATAATAAAAAATTTAAGAAGGAAATCTTACTAGATTTTTTAGAACTAGATTTACTAGAAATCTTACTAAGTAGATAAGAAGAGAAATGATTTTATATACAATATTCCAAAAATTTTACTACTTTGGCTTATAAATAAGTAGTAAAATATACAATGATGTACATGGTTGTCAAGATAGTATTACCAAAAGCCTGTCAAAATCAGGGTGTTGAAAGTAAGAGTGTAAATACAGTCATCTAAAGAGGGTAAAACCAAGGAGTTCATAAAAGGTTTTTGATTTTCACTACAGCACTGAAATAAAAATGAAGAAACCATGGGTTAGGAAATAACTTTAGTACAGAAACAGTTGCAATATATTTGAGATACAATAAAATGTTACAATATAATATCACTATTTTATTGATTCAATGCTAGAACCGCTTCCAGGCAACTTATCTACTATCTCCTTTAGCACAGCAGTTTGTGTATTTATTGCAGTAATCTTGTCTGAAAATGTTTGCTGGAACAAACCTAATATAATATAATGTATGTCATGAGGAACTATACATACTCCTACCTCGTATGGAAACCCCTATGGGAAATAACAAGTAACCAGTAAAAAGTGCAAGGGCAGTTGTTATTTTATAAAAACTTGATATTCCAGTTTGTGTAATTTGTAAAATTTTTGTTAAAGTTTTTAAAAACCATAGGTTGAGATTCTTTCATGAACAGAACAAATTATTTTTTTATTATTTTTTTAAACCGGCCTGACTTTATTTCTAGTTTAAATGTGATGTTTAGTGACATGTTTGACCAATTCAAAAGCTATGATGAACAGAAGTCAGTCAAAATTGACAACTTGCAGTGTATGTTATTAAACAATGAGAGCGAAATTTTTTTATGGTCATTTGTTATTCCCCATAGGGTCCTCCATACAAGGTTGGAGTATGTCCTGTATTAACTAAGTACTAAGTAAATATTTTACACTTTATTTCTCAACTCTCGTTTTAAAATTTGAACTTCAAACTGGCATATTGTCTCTTTGTGGTTTTCTTCAAAGACTCCCACTTGCTTGGAAGCATTTTAGCTGTCCTTCCTGTACCACAATTGGAATTAAATTTTATGGATAATTTTAACCACTCCTCATCTTTCATGGCACTTGTTGTGTCAGTTTTCTTACATTCTAAAAACAAAATTAAAATAAATACTTAACCCATAGATACATATTTTTTTACATACCTATTATTTCTTTATGTTCTTCAACTAAACTCACAAGCATTTCAATTTCTGTATATGTAAAATTTTTACATCTTTTTTTATCCATTTTATATTAATTTTGTAAAGTATAATAATATAAACATAAATAAAATACCAGATAAAGCGAATCAATTATTCAATTCCTTTCAATTGTAAACAAATTTTACAGTTATGACAAATGCCAAATGTCGCTGTCAATAACAATTTGAACTAATTTTGCAGATATCAGATCTACTATTTCGTTTTACCTTAGTGTTCTGTGGTTATTCCCAGAATAACTATTCCGCTGTCGATTTCACAATGTAGAACGCTGGAAAGGTTATACTTGGAATAAACTCAAGTATAAGTTATACTCAGAATAACTATTCTCCAATTTATACCTGGATTGTAGAACCGGCCCTTAGTAGAACTAACTGTTACTATGACTAAATCTGCCGAAGTCCCAAGGATTTATAGAATATTTAATGGAAGATATACAATAAACCGGTTAACTACAGAATATTGTGGCAATTGTATAATTTTCTATTACGTCTTTGCTCTAACGCTTGAAGCGTCTGCTCCTTCTACGGAACCCTATGATTCCGAGGAACACCTTTTCGAAACCACAGTTGCATGGGACTCAACTCATTCATTGGACATACATTGTACTTTAATTTGTTTTGTCGTTTTTTGAATTTAAAAATAAATGTATAATCTTTTGATAAACAGTAACGTCTCACTTTCCTCCGAAGAACTCCGACTCGAAGGCCTACCCCGAACAATATAGGTCAGCGTGAGGCACTCTATTCCCGCTATCTGTAGTCAGTTCGGTGACTCGGCGCTTGAAGATGTTGGCCCCTCTTGCCTGTTTTTTGGGTTTTGTTAATACTTTGTAGCTGGTGCCTTTTGTGTGTTTTATTAATTTTTTTGGTGACCGAAATCTTTTTTGAGTTTTTTTTTTATTTTTGGGACAAATTTTTTATTTTTATTTTTTTATGATGTGGCATTAAACAACATATACAACCCTTAATTTTTAACCTCCTATTATCAAACCAATTTTTTTAATGGCGAAATTAGTGTGACAAGAGTTATTAGTGTCACAGAGTTAGTTGCCACAGGAAAGGTATTTTCATTTAAATCAGTTGAGATAGTTATAAATCAGAATGACGTAGTCACCTATCCTACAGAGTTTTTCAGTTTATTTTAATTCCCTAGACTGCCACCTAACAATTTACAATTAAAAGCAGGATCAATTGTCATTAAGCTGTGTACCATTACTAGTAATCAATCTCGACTGTGCAATGGAACGATACTGACTGAAAAGGCTAATGAATAATGTCATTGCGACAACGATCATCAAGGAAAAATACAAAGAAGAGTGTTAAGTCTTGATCCCGCGTCTCATGATGATTTCAAAGAACGTACCATTTGATTTTAAACGTTTATAATTTCCCATGCTTTTGGCTTCTGCAATGACAATAAACAAATCAGAAAGCTAACCATAGGAAGTTTGCGGAATTAATTTAGAGTTTCCATGTTTGGCGCATAGGCAATTATTCGCGTGTCACAAAACCGTCATCATTCTATATTTAACACAATGAAAAAATAAAATATTTTAATCAGAGACCATCAAATTAATTTAACTTTTTTCGTGCATAATATGTTTGAGTGTTTTTTTTATTTTTCTGTTAACTGTTTAGACACATTATTTAATTCTATGGCAGTACGAAGTTCACCGGGTCAGCTAGTGTAAAATATTTGAGTAAATACTACATACTTTTCCAAACAAAATATTTTACACAGTTGTCCAAATAATTACCTGGATTATACTACATCTAATTATTCTAATTCTGTTATTTTTTTTTATAAACAAGCTGTAACCCGCAGTAGTAAATCATTATTTGCAAATTAGTCACTTCTGCCTTAAAGATGTTAGTATTTATGGGAATTAATGCAATTTCACGATACGTTCAAAATCCCTTTTATAGAATAGTACTGTCTGTACACCTTTTTCCTATTCGTTTACGGAAGTAACTCACGTCTCTTCACTTATTTTGGGCTAGTGTATAGCTCTCCGCTAGTATAATATTTAAAAATCGGTCTTGTAATTTGTTTATATTTTTAGGCAATTCTGCAAACTTACCAGTAGGAAATAAAAAATTTACAATATTCCGAGATAGTGACGATATTCTAGGAAGATGGGAAATAATGTCAAATCCCTACACTGTTCAAATAGCATCTCCCAAGAAAGCGACCAAAATGGGAGGACTCAAGTCCTTTATAGCATATCAACTGACACCGTCATTTTCCAATGTAGAAGTATCTAGGAGATATAAACATTTTGATTGGTTGCATGATAGGTTAACTGCCAAATTTAATGTGATAGCAATACCGCCTTTACCTGACAAACAAGTATCTGGTCGGTAAGTAAGTTTAACAATCTACTATTTAAATTAATCATCATTATTAATAAATTAGTGATTCTATCGTTAACAAGACATTTTGTTAATTTTATTTCATCTGTTTACTCTTTCCTCCGTTCCGCTATTGCGTGGATGAATGACCTTAAGTTTGTGACTAGCACTCTCCTCTTCTTGAAAGTTAATGGTTTATCAGCTTTTGTGTGATTTCCTCTAACTTCTGCGATAATAACAAAGAAACTTCTGATCTTGACCTTTGTTGTCTCTAATAGTTTCTCATAAAGAAGGAACTTGTACGATAACAACAGAGAATTAAGTTCATAAAACGGTTTAGTCAATACGGTATGTAAATGGAATAGAATCATAGAGATACTAGAAGATTTCATCCATCATTTTAAGATGCCGATGTTATATGTGAGGTTGTTCATTCGTAACAGTTTTCCTTTAAAACACGGCGTGTTTCCATTTTTCGTTCTATCGTTGATCAAACAGTACATATATATTGGCTTCAAAATTTTCTTTACAACATTATCGTCGAAATTACGTTAATACAAACATTATATATTAAATACTTTTTTGAATAAGGATTCATTAACTTTAGTCAGTACATACCGTTGATTACCACGAAGATATGAACGCTGATATTTTTGAGGAATGCCTTGAGTAAATGATAAAGCTTATATTCTCCTTATTTCCCTTCGGAATTAACTGAAAAAATGAAAATTACTCGAAAAGTTTCGGCGCCCATTTTGGAGCCATTATCAAGAGGAATATGGTTCCGTTCAACTTAGGAGTTTCAATGTACCTACTCCCCTCACTCGTGACGTACCAGTATCTTGTTCGCTAGAAATACGAGAACCGTCAAACAGCTCTGAGGTCTCAATCTGCCTACTTCTCAGTGTCGGTGACGACCGGTCTTACCTTGTGTAGCTGCTATCTAAGCGGAATTGGTTGGCGTGGGAGGTCGCTGAAGCGGTCGCCATGTTGCCGGCAGTCTTTTTGCGCCATCGCACGTTTTTAAGCTATTAGGACATTTTTCAATTTCGATGGCTTCACGAATAATTCTCGATTTTAAGGAGCAGATAGGGGCGATGGATTTTGCTTTTTCGAAATCTATTTTGTGACCTGTCTGTCTGTGACTGAAGCAGGTACTATAAAATACGAGTGGTTAAGGGTAATATTTTAAACATCTGCCATGGTGCATTTAAACAAATTTAACAAATCAAACACAACAGCCCTAGCCAAGCATTCTCTGGAAAATAGACATTCTTTGAAAAAGAACTAAACTACAAGAAAAGATGCATATTGGAGATGATTCACAAAAAAATGTGCTCCATTGCGTCGTAGATAGTGTTCATAATGATCATATCGATTTTGGAACTTATTCTGGAACATAGATTTCTGGAATAAAAATCAACGGGGAACTACTTAATGTGATTAGATATGCAGAGGATACAGTAATTCTGTCAGATAATATTGAAGGTCTCCAAATTCTGCTTTATCGTATTCACGAGGTAGGAGAGGAAATGGGCCTAAAAATAAACTCAAACAAAACCAAATTTTTATTCTTTAGTTGTGACCCACATCCCGATGCAAAGCTTCAATTAAACGCGAGTCCAAGTTGAGAAAGTTCACAAAATGACATATTTGGGACCTGTGATAATGGACCAACTAGATCCGTTGGTTCGTGCAGAAGTATGGACGCTAAAAGAATCGATCATGAACAAAATTGAAGCATTGGAAATGTGGCTCATAGACGAATGCTGAAGATACCTTGGACACCAAAGAAAACTAATGAAGAAGTACTAAGGAGCATCATCAAATATAGAGAACTGCTAAAGACTGTTAAACATCGAAAAATATCTTATCTGGGACACATAGTAAGGGGAAGTCGATATAAAATATTACAACTGATCCTTAAAGGCAAAATAGAGGACCGTAGAGATGTAGGAAGGAAACGAATTTCTTGGTTGAAGAACATTCGTGAATAATCTCGGATATCAAATGCGGGATAATTATTCCATATTGCAGAAAATCAAGAAGCCTTCGCAATGGTGATAGCCAACGTCAGATAATTCTGATATGGCACGCGAAGAAGATTTTAATATTGTTTTTCAGAAGTTAAAATCGAAACGTCAAAATAAAGGTTTTGTGAACTGATTTTGTGGTTAATTTCCATTAAAGATAGTAAATATATATTTACTAGTTTTTGAAAAGTTTTCTTTTATCACATTTTTTCTTACTTGTTTATTTAAATATACCATTCTTTTAGGTATGAAGAACAGTTCATAGAACATAGACGTGCACAACTCCAAGAGTTCATAAATTATATGTGTAGACATCCGGTGCTCAGTACGTGTGACGTCTGGGTGCACTTCCTTACATGCACAGATGAAAAACAATGGAAACTCGGTAAAAGAAACGCTGAAAAAGACCAAATGGTAGGTGCGAATTTTTGTATGTCCATCGAAGCGCCGGAAAAAGACATTTTACCGTCTTTATCGGAGCCTAAAATAGAAGAAAATCTTAATTATATCATAAAGTTAGACCAGTGTATAAAGAATTTGATGAATACTGCGCAAGATCAACAGAAAAAATGTGTAAATATGTATAAGAGGGAGTTCATGAGGATCGGTGAATGTTTTTTCGCTTTAGGTTCTTCTTTTGAGTATAACCAACAAGGAATGTATTCTAAAGCTTCCGTAGGTAAGTAAATATTAGATAATTTTAAACAAACCTTTATTTACTCATTTTTAATAAAAAAAGAAACAATTTCTTTTAAATATGTGACCCATTGGTTTTCGATTCCCTTTTGTTGTCTTTAGTTATTCTCTCAGCTCTTGAAAAACTGTACACTTTCAGTATCGATGTAAATTTGTTGAGTTCTCTCTTGAATTATCCCGGAATATGATAAACGTTAGAATTTTAAAAATAAAAATTTTCATCCCCAGCTGAATCTCAATCCCTAAGTTTTTACACCTAGAGTCTATCTGCTTGCAACTGGCAGCTCATTACAAATGTAATAATATTCACTAATTTGCAAACAGCAGGCAAAATGGTCAAACTGAAATCACTCTAAATGGAAAATCATTATATCCTCTCCTGTTGGAATATAGTTTTAGATATTATTTTTCAGAATCTACCCTGTTCACATAGAAATAACAATACACAGCCATGGATTATATACCTAACAGGTATGAAAATCATAGGTCAGTGTTGGAGAATCAAAAAGGGACAGATTTATATGTTATATATAATTAATGTCAAAGTGGATGCATCGTATTGATATCTAACATTTATACAATGTGCAAAAATGAAAAACTTACTGATTTCTGTGTCAGATTCGTTGGCTCCTATTGCAATGAAAGAGAGAGAAATTTATTGTTTTTAAAATGAGTTTACATATAAAACACAACATGTGTAAAACACAAACAAGGCACAAGATACATTAAAATACTAATTATAAAATTTCCATAATTAAAAAAAAATATATCAATTAACGCAACTGTCCTCAAAAAAATCCTCTATAATATAGTAACATTTGGATAATAAAAACTTTTGATTACTCTTCGGAATACAAAAATATTGCTTGATGATCTTATATCGAGTAATAGGTGATTTAACACGTTCTTACCAGTGTAAATAAATGATTTTTTAATTAATGTAGAAGAGTGAATTATAAGTGGAATAACATAATTTAGACGAATGTTATAAGGGGAATCTGTCCGAATATCCTGTTTGTTTTTTAAAAATTAAGCACGCTAATTCAAGGAAGAGTCAAGATACCATGTTTCCGGAACGGAGGCCTACATGATGTACCAAACTTGCCCTTGCATAAATATCTGAGTGCTCTCTTTTACGCATAAAATTTCTACTGAAATGATGAAGAGAACGGCTATCCCAAAGCTGATACCCCAAAGAATGATTAGATTGACAAAGTTCTTCAATGTTATTATCAACAGCTCACAATCTTTCTTCCTATTTTTTCCGTGGTTTACGGCATTAGTCCAGTTTCCTTTCGTTGGATTTTTTATGGAATTTAGTAAAAGTTGTTTCGACATCCTTCAATTTTAAAGTTGTATTTTTTCTGGACATTTCACCTTTTACTTGAGCCCATATTGACTATATTCGATTTATTTGACAATGATAAGTTGGCAAACGTAATACCGTTATTCGTTTTGTTTTTGCCATTTCGTCAATGACATATTTTTTATAGTACGATTTATGTTGCCTTGGAATTCATAATAATTCCGTTTTAAGCATAGTCTGATCATACGGTAATATTTTGTGTTGGAGCTAATCAATTATATCTTCTTTTTTCCATGAGACTGCTACTCAAAAGTAATCCTCAAAAAATCGGAGTTTATTTCTTCGTGGTAATCTTTAGTCGATTTTAAAAAAACGAACTCATAATAAATAATTCTCCACAAAACCATGTTCGCTACCAATGTGTGTGATTATTAATCTTAGAACCTTTTCTACATGAGTGTTTAAACCGCTGGAATATCCTTGTTGAGAACTAGTAATATTTTTATCTACCCATACTTTTGAAATGGTTTCATTTAGGTAGGTTTTATCTAAATAGAAAATGCATCTTTTTTCTAATCTAATCTTTTTACCGTTCTCAACCTCTGCTGTATCGTTCAATATAGGATTTTTTCTTTGATTTTCATAGCAAATCCGACTTCTTTAAAATTATTATCTCTTTTTGCCTTTAATTTTGTATCCCATATAGGAATCTCCTTATTTAAATAGAACGAATGAACTTTCCTCCGAAGGACGTTTCTAGGAAAGTCATCAATTTTCATTGGTTGTTTTTCTGCATGTCTTTTTGGCTCGGTAATGTTTCCTTGTTTTCTTTCACTTAAAAAATCTGTAAATGGTTCTTTCACTACATTATTAATCATTGTTAAAGAGTGTTGATGAACAGGGAAGTCAATAACATTTATCACAATAGCTTTTTCTCTCGGAGAATACGCGCCGTTTTAAAGTTTAGCAGCATCAAATTGAAACGACGATGTCATTTTAACACGTGGACTGAACTACTTACTGATAACACGGACAGTATCAAATTCGTCACAAATTTCCGTTACTCGGTCGGCAGATATCCCAAAAAGATGATTTGTCAAAGTCGTTAATAAAAAATTATCCCGAATTTAGACAAATTATTCTATGAATGCAATAGTATAGATATACCTTATAAATAAAAAAACTAGTACTACTACTGTTACTACTACACAACATGGATGAACTATGTGACAACATTTGAAGACGATAGGAATGCCACCATCACACAAAATAAAAATGATGATACCGAACCACCTATTCTCGAAGCGGAAGTAGAAGCTTCTATAAACAACATTAAGGCCGCAGGACCAGACGAGTTCTACTCAGAATTTTTGAAAATTATGGATAAAGACGAAGTAAAAAGGCTTACCTTGATCGTCAACAATATATACCAAAGTGGAAAAATACCCCAATAGTGGCTAAGATCAACTTTTATCCCTAACAATCCCTAAAAATCCCAATGTGAAGATTATCGAATAATAAGCCTTATGAGCCATCTCTGGCGTTTAAATCCTAACTCCATAATAACTTTTTTCTTGGACGTTAATATCTATGAAAGAGCTTAAAGTCAAAATTTATTAATTTTTGTTGGTCGTTAAGATTTATTAAAGAGAAAGAGCTTGAAGTCAATTGATTAAAGTTTAGTTACCATACCAGAATCATAATTTGAATTTATATTACATATCTTCGGTTCTCTTTTTTCGTATGCAGAATTGCCTTCTGGTATTGAATTTATTCATATACGTTATAGTTACGTCAAATTAAATATTATTTTTACAAATATATTACCCGAAGATGTCAATTAGCATCAATTCGAATCGACCAAAAAAAATGGTGCCCCTAAAAATTTCCTTAATGTTTAATTGTTCTTATAAACTGTAATTTTTGTTGTGTAATATTATCATTCTGTATTCATAACTATGTTTTAATTTTAGATGTAAAGAATATAGGTACTACATACATGACGATAGCCAAACTATATGGGGAACAACCAAAAATCGACTGGCAGCCTCTATTTGATAAACTGTACATCTACAAAGGCATTACGAGCGATCTACCAGATATTTTAAACCTACAAAAGCTCTCTGAGCAGAAAAAGAAAGATTGCGAACGAAACGCGCAAAATCCTCAAACGGCTATTGCTGATATCCGAAGAAGAGCTGATGTTTTGACTTACACCGTATTTGCTGAATTAAATCACTTCCAAAACGAAAGAGACACTGACTTAAGATTAACAATGAAGACTTTCCTACAGGAGCAACTTAATTTTTACAAAAACATCGTGCTCAAATTAGAAGAAACGTTGGATAAGTTTGAATAAGTCCTTGCCTAGTTCAATTCAGTTCTTTATATTTTTATAAAAATATATGAAGTGGCAATGCCAGAAGAGATAAGCAATAATTTTGATAAAAAATATCAATGCTAGTCAAATTAATATACCTGCTTATTTATTTAATTGTTTTACTATGAAACTTTTTTCTCGTAATGATAACATTTCGATATTAATAACCTTTTAACACGTTGAAGGCCATTGTATTCACGTGAATAAATATAAACTTATGATGTCTACAGATTGAGGGAACGAATATTTATATAGATTTTATGTTTTTAGTTCACGTTGGTTTAATGTTTTGAATCCGGAGCTTTCTATCTTAAAAGTATCAAATGAGACTTTATTTTTAATCTTCTGTTTACATTTTAACAGAAAAAGTTCACTCAATTTATACAATCAACCAACTTTTTTATCACGCTTTCTACTTATCTTCGTCCTTCATCTTATAGGTTGATGTCAGTCACTTTTTGTATTTTCTTAATTTTTTGAGATTTTAAAACATAAAAAATTATATCGTGCTATATTTATTTTGATACTCATGTACTGAATTAATTCAGTACGGTTGTTAGTTCCACTAAAATATTAGTTCCTTATTTTTCAGTTTCGTATAAAAGTGCCTTACTTTACGTCCCAGAATTGATAAAACTGTCATAAAAGTTGAATAAATGCCTTCACTAAGTTTTACCTTTTATGTGGTCCTCTGCTTCTTCTATCTGCTAGCGGTCTCCACACTGTAATTTTGTGGGTCCACAGCCCGTCATTCATTCTGGTCACATGGCCCACCTCGTTCCACTTCAGCTATGCTATGCGCTCTATGATCAGTGCCGCCTGTCTTTTAACCCTGTCTCCGAGAGTCTGTCCAAGTAACAACCATTCCATTCTTGTTTAGGCTACTCTGAGTTTGATTGCTGTGGTCTGGATTAAGGAAAGTATTACGGCGCCGTAAGTCATGACTGGAAGCACACATTTGTCGAACGTCTTTTTTGTTCAAATAATTTGGCATGTTACTCTTGAAGATGTCTGATAGAGCTCCATATGCGGCCTTTGCTAAATTGATTCTTCTTTACAGTTCAGCTCTTTGGTTGTTCCTATCAATTTGAATGAATAAAAATTGTCTTTTATTTCTTGGATTTCGACATGTTAAGAAAAATATTAAAGCAAAATGGATCTTAATTATTATTAGTGTTTATCTTAATTGATTTTCTTTCTCAACATTAATGCTTCACTCTGAAACGCATTGTAACTTTTACCGAACTTAATCGGACTATAAATATATTATAAAATGGATATACAGAGTAACCAAAAACATTTCTGGTTCAAGCTTATTGCAGTAACGTCTAGAAAATAATGAATCATAAATCTGTAGATAGTGGTCATATATTTGGTCAGGAATTAAGCAACGTAAATACTTACTTTAGTAAGTAATTGCCAATGATTCTAAGTATTTCTCACTTTTAATATTATCCAAGAGATGATCTAGGGAGCTGATATTTGAGTATAATCTCCTGTGGTACTGAATGGTGTAGGTTTAGTTATACTATAAACAAAAAAGCCAAACATATTGGCAAGGTCGTCTTTTGAAAGCTAATGACAACCTACCGAGTAGCAAGAGGCCTAATATAGCTTTTCTAGAATAGATATATATCTACTAAAAGCACATATGGGATTGAGAAAATGTGATCAAATTATTATTATTCTTTCTGAATCATTTTTATCAATGTGTAGCCCAAATATAACAGGACTTTTTGAAATAATAATTGGGTTCATTGCTTTATATTATCAGTAATGCGTAGAAAAGTTAGACTAATTTTTCGTGCCTTACTTAGTAATTGCGTTACAGTGTGGCAGCTCTGTAATTTTAATACAATAATAGACAATCGACAGTAAATTGTTGGTTCGTCCTTCATTGCTTTTCCGTATTAGTGTATGTACTGCACTTTTAGAGTCTAATAGACTGCATGCATTCGCCGCTTCTATACACCGTAACTTGTTAATATTAATTTTAATCGTCATGGCTATTTTTTCCTACTAAGAGTTCATCTCTTTTTCAGAATCTAAAGTTTCTGAAGAAAAAAGTATTAACAGCAAAAATTCTTTCGGTAAATATATAAAAAATAATAAAGATGTTAAAAGTCCTAATTCAGAAGAAAACATAAGTCAAACAAGAAGAAGTTTTAAAAACTGCTAATTGAACATACATTTAGTAATGACATATGTAGCGATAATTCATTCATGTATTTACTGTATTTGTTTTCATGGGAATTTCCTAATGTTTACCTAACTTTCTTTATTGTCTTATTTTGTCATAAAATGGCAGAAAAATAAAAGTTTTTACTCAAAAAATCACAATCAGTCTTAATACTTGGGTGGTGCTAAAAGTGTTTTAAAATTAGTTCCAGATTTATGATTCATTTATTACAAGTCTAGACGATTACTGACCCTGTGATACTGTTTTATATAACTGTCTATATTTATATATAACTATAAATAAGCTTGCGACAGAACTTATTCTTCTGTGTATAAAGCGAGAGGAAAGACTTGAACAGGAAAATGTACATAGTTCTTTTCTTTTTGATAAGTATTAGTATAAATGAAACAGCTATGTAATTAGTAAGTTACCAAAATGTGCATAGATGATTGTGTAAAGGATATTTTTAATATTCCCTAATTGTGTAATTATTTAGTAACGAAATTTTAAATTCCGTTGCAGCCAAGATTGTATAAATTTTCAGAATTTCTTTTTGTAGGATCTTTAAGAAGTATACTTCCTATTGAGATTATTGTTTTAACTTTTGCAGCATGTTTAAAACGATATATTTGACTAGTCTGAAATATATTTGTTTTTCAGTATACGAGATTATAATAAAAAAATTGTTGGCAAAATAAAAAAACATGTCACTGAATTAAAAAAATCAGTGAAACTAGTGTCTATGAAACTTGCCGAAAACTGTTTTATCTCGTTTTTTATTATTGAAGAAGTTTGTTGGTTTATTAATGTTTTATATGCATAATAATAATAATAGTTTTCTTTCTTAAGTACCAGGTTGTTACAATACTGTGGAGACCTTCATAGCTGATTGAATTTTCTGAACATCATCACGGAAATGTGGTGTGTATTTATGCGGAACTATATTGACAATGTTTATACCAATAAATTCTTTTCTCTAAGTAATATGGATCGAAAGACAAATTTAAAATATCCATACCTTAGTTGTTTTGGATTAGTGCAGTCAAAACTTTTACGAAAAAATTATTGCGTTACGTGATCATAAATTTCGGCAAAATAATGAGGGGAAAAATTACGAAACGGGAAGCTTATATTTCCGGTTCCGAGGAAATTACAAACAACATAAAGTCAACACCACCAACTAGTATATGGGAACAATATTATATACGCGTTTTTTAACTATGGGGCCGTTCAAGTATTACATAAGCATTGTATTGTATTATTTACCCCTCCTCCAATCCCCTTTGTCAACAAAAGTAAGTAAACCTCTTACCACCCCTCACATTTTACGTAAACATTGTGTTCTGTTTTTTTATTGATTCATGAGCAACAGTTATAATTCAAAAAATAGGAAAATAGATTTAGGAGAGAGGACTTTTACGCACATGATGGAGTCATGTGCGTAAGTCGCCCAAAGATGATGGAACGCTCGCTACTTGGACTGACGAGACCAAGTGGATACCACGAGCTGACAGAAGCAGATTTAGACCACCTATACGATGGACAGACGACGTCAAAAGAATCGCTGGGGAATTGGCTGCAGGAAGCTCAAAACCGATAGAACTGGAAGAGATTAGGGGAGCCTATGTTCTACCTTGGACGCAGAAGGCTGGATGATGATGCTCGATCATTTTCATCGAGCCATTCAACATCGTGGTGCTTTAAATTTTGAATAAATTACATCAGTTTATTAGCTCGACGATGGATTAAGTTTTTAATGGATCTTCTCGATGTGTCGATTTAGTTAGGGAATTTTGAGTGTAGCACTTAAGCGTAGAGCTAATTTGACTAGAAGATTGAGAAATTGTCCTCCATCATCCAAAACCAAGTCATTAACTGTTTGTTTTACTTTTACTGGTGGTGGAAGAAACCTCTTGTCTAGAGTCTAGTTATGTAAATAGGCCACTTCTTGGACGACAGTATTCTGTTTCTACATTTTACAATTTGAAGCAAGTATTGGCTTTCACGCACATGTTTGAATAACTTTAATGTCTGGGAAATCAGGAAAATCTTATTCACTCGGCCTAACATATTTTACAGTAATATTATAGTCATCAATTTTAATTGAATTCTATTTATAGTTCAGCTAACACATTTCCTTCAAACTTAAAATTGGATCTTTCTAAATGTTCTGGATCTTTTATATGTAGATATATTTGTATCGTTCAAATATAAATATAATATGTGAGTGGCAGTATCTGTTAAAAAGTAATAGGATGCTGCTGACGTAATCACCATCTAGACCCGAACTCATGTCATCAAAAATAAGCTAACCAAAGACTCTCCTTCCCTATAGTAATTACGTAATACTTGAACAGCCCCGATGTACCGCTTCACATTCGTGTTAATGCGATTTCGTATAGATTGAGTTATCTTCGTCTGTTGTTGTAATCGTTCAGTGGCGGTTCAGTTACTTGATTGTCTAGCTAAGTGTACCTTTTTTTTAACTTGTTTGTTATTAACATTGATACACTTCTAGTGACAACTCCAGTTCTAGCAATGTACACTACTGGACACTAACCATACTTGTGATACCCCAGAATGAGTTTTTAAGAATTCGCCCAAGCTAAAAATGATCCTTATCTTTTAAAGATTTTTTTTTAATTGTAAAAATAAGCTTTATCGACTCTGACAATATTTTTATATACCTATTTTGGATCGTTCTTCTAAACAAAAAAGGTCTCTTGCCTTTTTTTTTAGTTGGTCGTTTTCGAGTTATAGAAATTTAAAACTGAAAAAAAAAAACAGGATTTTTAACGCTCAATATCACAAGTAAAAAATGTTATTTTAGAGATGGCCAAGTGCCTACGTTCAAGTTCAAACCTTTAGATATCAGTTATCTATGATAATTTTGAGCTTATTTTATTTTAAAATATTGTTTTTTAATTGTTAACGAAGCGCTTATAACATGACGTGCTTTCGGTAGTTGTAGATTTATAAATATACCACTGACGTGCTTTTCGCCTTAATAAGAGCAAAATTTTTATAAAGAACTGATATATGAAGGTTTGAACTTAAATTTAGGTACCTTATGATTATAAAAAATATAAATTGTTTTTGAGCCTTGAAATCGTCATAAATTGTTTACAAAGTTTATTTTTACGAATTGTTTATTTAAAAAAAATGTTTAAATAAAATTGGGACCACTTTTTTCACTTTAACAACTTCTTGAACATTAATCTGAGTTGTCTGACGGATATGATTATGAAAAAATGTTTCACGGGAATATTTTTTCGGACGAACACGAGCTTTTTGCCTTGTCTGAGTAGTTCCCCTTCATTTTCGGAAGTGTCCAGTGCCATAGTTTCCCGATGACTGAGTATGCTTTTCTTGTTGGATCCATTTTCCACGAGAAGCTAGAAAATGGGCGATTACTACCGGCAATACTCTGCATGCTGGGAGAGTCTCAAATAAATCTGTTACCCGGTGTTTAGCTGTCCTTAGCTTCTACTTAACGACTACGAGAGAGTATGAAAAGCCTGGATGGGATGGGTGACTTTTCGGAACAAGTTTTAACAAAACTAGTCCCAGTTCATGAGATTGAATTAGTCAGAATAGTAGGTTCACCTAATAAGAGACAGAAAGTTAGCAAACAAGAATAATGGTACTAAACATATAGTCCCAACAAAAAATATTTTACGACTGATAAAATGATTCATTATGTTAAAATAATTGAATACGTAATGAAATCCGATGTTTTTCTAAAATTGGATTAATATTTTAAAACTTTGGCTTGAATTGCATTCGTGTCCATAGAGCTAGTAATTTTAGCTACTACACAAGCGGGTAAAATACGATTTAAAGATCTCATTGTGATATTTTTTTTGTCAATTTCAATTTGTAAACTTTGAGTTTTTTAATTCCAGTGTGTACAGTTTATTTGGTGGCAAATAAGGTTATGAATCGGACTGCGCACTTCTTAAATATCTATTACTACACTATATATATACACTTATATTTTAGAATGATTCGATTGCTTAGCCAAAACATAAAAAGTATATGTAGGGCCAGAAAGCAAAATTGCTTTACTGGTTTTGTTTCAGCCTAACATATACTAGTATATATTCTATATTTTTATACGTTTTATTCCATTTTGCCTCGAAACCGTTTCCCTTTGATATACTAAAGTTTTTTTCTTCCCTCGCTATTTATTTTACAATTTTATGATATAAAAACATATCTAATCTTTATATACATTCGTTTGTATTGAATGATTCTGTATCGTTTGTATTATGTATACTTATTTTATTGTATATGTACCACTAGTTATATTTAATATTTTTTTAATATACTCTTGTTGCAATATTTTGTTTATTTTATATTAAACAGAACGATTATTGATGCCTTTATTTATATATTATGTGGATGCAAGTCAATTACATTACAGTTCGGAAATCTAGACTTGTTATCTGGTGAGCAGGTGCAAATTTATAATTTGGTTTATTAAAAAAAAATACGTGAGTTTTCCTAGAATGACTGATTTTCTTACGATTGATAAAAATTGTAAAATCTATATCGGGTAAAACTTATTTTCCATTGTAACTAAATTCTGACGAAAAGATACGGGAGAAATAAAATAACAGTTTACAACTATTCAACTGTCTAGAAAATATGAGCCTGTAAATGAATGAAGAAAAAAAAACTAAAGTGATGACAACAATCAACAACAGAGGCAACAATCAACAATTGTATAAAAATTAATTTATTTCTGACATACTGATTCAAAAGATGGATCATCTATAAAGCGGTTGAAAATCTGTTACTCGTGTTTTAGTGAAAGATCCTGAGAGGAGATAATTAGTGACATCCGTTAAAATAATAACTTGAAGAGAAGGTACAGCTATGAAATATAAAATCAACATATAGGTGCATTAAAGTAAACCAGACAAATCCTTGTCACAGTCCGGGTAAGGAGGACGTAGAAAACTGATATGGAAAAATGGTGTGTGAGGATGTCAGGAACTTGTTGTGATGAGCTGGTAACAGTTGTCATTGGACAGGACTTAATGCGAATAAGGCTTGAAATAATTAAGTCTATTTTAGAGCTTTAGCGTCAGTGATATTGATGATACAAATTGACATTTGGATTTTTATAAGTAACGCCCTTATTGCTTGAAAATATTGAACCATGAAAGGATATTAGTATTACCCAGATTACTTTTTTACAATAGGTAAATAAAAATTAAAACTTTAGTAAAAATATAAGTATAGTTCTGGTCGCCACATATTTCATCATTAGTCCAAGTCGAGCTAGAATTAAAAATATAGTCATAAAACACACTGTCAACTTGGTCACTAAAGTTAAGTTTATGTTTAAAACTTTATCAAATTAAGGTTCAGTCGACAGAAAACCATCTACAATATAAATTATATCTACATAAGTACTTCTTCCATTATTCCATATAAACTTTATGAAAAAACTCATCCGATAACGCTGTCAAGATATTTCATTTAAAGCTGACTTTTCTTGTGGCATCTTAATAAAATTTACTATTTTTACTGGGAATAAGCCACAGTTTTACTTTAAAATAGTTTATTTTGGCTCTTCGATTCCCACTTCGAGATACAATTTCCGAAGTGGAAATCGAAACATCAAAAGAAACTTGTTTTAAAGCAGAATTGTGACTTATTCTCAGTAAAAATAGTAAATTGTACTGGCATTTCTAGTTCCAACAAAATACGTACGGCCTAAAACAGTAAAATAGGATATAGATCCTGATAATAAAATGGCAGTCTTAATATTTCATTTCCAAAACGGTTAATAATATTACCAATCGTAATATTGTTCGGAAGTTATTTTCTTGTGGCGTTTTAATATTATTTTCTATCTTTAATCGGAATGAACTACAATTTTAGTTAAAAATACGTTTATTTTGACGTTTTTATTTCCAATTCGGAAATAGTTCTCAAAATACCAATTAAACTATACCAAAATAATTGTTTTGTTACTTGGCAATACAAAAAATTCTAACATTTATATTTACAATTCAGATATATATTATACATTTTAATGGAGATTACTTTGAAGTGATATTTTAAATGAGTTGTATTTTCCTTTTATTGATTTCTTGATTTAATAATTTCAACCAAATTCTACTATATATTGCTGGTAATTTACAACGCAGACTTAATCTAACATAAATGTCTTGATTTTTCACGTAAATAAAAGTTTTCGCATTAACAAAGTATTTTATAAATAAAATCTCTTGTTTTTTCCTATTCGTTTAAAGATTTGGTTTTATTTTATTTCAGCTAAATAATGGATTCTATTAACAAAGTTTTTGGTCTAGGAATGGCCGCTGCTTTATCTCCATTATTAGCGAATATATTAATGGAAGATTTCGAAATAAATAGTATGGTGGGGATGTGCAGATGTTGTGTTCTCTATATAGCCTCAAGAGCAGAGTTGTTGGATACATCCCTAATGAATACAAACGATACATAAGATAATAGTCACCGTGAAAAAGTAATATAATCATCAAGGAAAACTCATTACATTTCTTGGATGGTTTAATCTTAGATAAGTATACTGGATGTGAGACTTACGTGGATAGAAACCAACAGATATCTAAAGTACAAAGAATCAAACCGTAATATTAATATTAAAAACGGAATCATCGTAACATAAGTACTGATACGAGGAATATAAAAATACCATTCATAAAAGGAATGCAAGGAAAACTTAAAACAACAAACATATTGAGATCTTTTTATCTTAACGCAAACCTAATAATAAACAAGAAAGAACAAGGGATTTTATTTATAAAATACGTTATGAATTCGAACATTTTTATTTAGGTAAAACATCAAGACCATTAAATGTTAGAATAAGTGAACATCACTCTTATCTCAAAAAATAGAGAATTTTACAGATCTCTGATATGTAAACATGTAGCGGCGAATAAAATGGTAGGTCTTTCTGTGGTTAGTCCAATTAAACCTGGTTTAATTACCTGATTAGCGCCCGGTTTCTTCAATATGGAAATCATTTCTAAATAATAATAAATGCGGGAATTTTCTCATAGGAAACATTGGTCTAAAATGGCTTACTCGGTTAAAACCACATTATACATCGACTTTTATAAACATGGCAGTGATGTCTAAAATAACTAAACGCGATTGTTTTATAGACATGCCTTAAGTTAAGTTTACATACATATAGCGACGTAATGCACGTATCTTCAAGAAATATGTAAAACTAGTTTTAGTCACCCCGAAAAATATTTGTTACGAAACTAATATTTCGATATTCTTAACCCTAGAATACTAACCTTATTTTTACCTTTATTTACACTAACCATCAATGTGGTCAAATATTACAAGAAAAGTGTGGTCACTGAAAAAGTATTTTATTTATCTTAACTTTACAAATTATTTTGAACAAAGATATGTTTTTAAAACCTAAATATCACAAAAAATCATAAATTCTACATTTTAGAACTACACTGATGACAACAAAATGCGCGATGTTCACCACAAAATGGACGTCGGCAGTGCTCGCAATGATGTGTTGTCATTCGACGTTTTTTAGACAGGTAAAATTGACATATATCACGTGTTGACACAATAGGGCATATTCGTTCTTGCTGCGGCCCCAGATTTAAAATATTTTCAATAAGCAACTTTACTGAGTGGTTCAAAGTTGGCCAATTTACACGTTGCTGGAGCCAAGGATTCGTCAGTTGTTCAGACAAAATGACCATACATTTTTTTCTGGTGATGGTTTTTTTCTGCTATCGTTGTTGGTTATGATTATAAATTATCCAAGGGTTTATGCAAGCTATATTTATTATGCCACAAACAGGCAAAGAGACATATTTGGTCAAATGTGTCTACTCCGTACTTGGTTGCATTATAGAATTTAATGATATTTGGCTTTCTAGTTGGATCACATTCTACTGGACCATTGTCGATTGTCTACAGAAGAAACACAGACTTATTTACTTTTGTCTTACAGGATACCATTGTTTTTTCACCATGGAAGCAAAATAATAACCAATTTCACGATTTGCTAAATTTATCATCTCGGGAGGTATTTCTCTTTTATAGTATTGCCCAAAATAATCAGTACTGAAAGTGAAACATAGATGTCTCGTGCGCGCTGTCATATTTAAATTAACTAGTATATACCTGTCAAGTAATCCATAAACAATTAATTATTAAGGCCTAATTGTTAAAAATTGTGTATATTTGAGTACAGAGGAGAAAGTGTTTCTTGTGGAGCATTATTTTCGTCCCATACGGAATCCGCCAACGTAGTAGTGTAAGTCTGCAATACGTGTGTGATCAATTCACACAACGGTTTAATAAAGGTCTGCCAAGTAATGCTGTAATTTCGAAGGTTGTTGAAAAGTTTAGAAATACGGGTAATATATTGTGCCAACGAAAAGGAAACTCAGGGCGTCCTAGGACAGTTAACAACAACGATAACCATGAACGTGTTTTGGAGCAAATCTAGGAAAATCCGAAAGCCGGCCAGACAAGAACAGCGTTGGATCTTGGTTTAAAACGAACTTCCTTGCAAATAATCCTGAAGGAGCTGGGTGCATTTGCGTATGTGATTCAGATACATCAACAATTACCTCTCAGGGATTATCACAGTAGAGTGAAATATTGTGCCAGAATTCTTGCCTTACAGTATGAAAATCCTGAATTTTTGAAAAATGTATGGTTTTCAGACGAAGCACATTTTCATTTGTCAGGTCATGTAAATCATCGTACAAATCTATTTCTGGGCTTTGCCAGACCAGATGAAGTTCAAGAAGTTCCTTTACATAGCGCAAAAGTGAGTGTCTGGTGTGCAGTTTCGGGACACGGAATCATTGGTCCATACTTTATCGAAGAAAACTGTTAAGTCACACTTAGTCAACAGAGGTACGTACAAATTTTAACACGCTTTATCCCTGATCTACGTCAATTTAGTCGTGCACGTAATTTGGCATTTCGAGACCAATTTTTCCAGCAGGGTGGGGCAACTTGCTATACTGCTGTCGCAGTTCGTCAATTTCTTCAGAGACATTTTCCAAACAAATTCATTTCACGATTTACTGATTTCCCCTATCCTGCACATTCTCCAGACGCATACATTTGGGGCATGGCTAAAACTGCCGTTTTTAAGCGGTCGCCAGAAACCATCAATGAGTTAAAGAATGCCGTTAGAGCCTTCTTCGAGGACTTGAAGTCTGTCTTGAGAGAAGAGTAGCTCATTTAAAACATGTTACAAAGTGTCAATAGTATGTACTTTTTAAAACAATAAAAAAATTACAAGTTCAGTACTGTTTATTTTGGGCTATACTGTGTT